TGTGTGTGTGTGTGTGTGTGTGTGTGTGTGTGTGTGTGTGTGTGTGTAGATACACACCGATTTTATATTCAATACAATGTTATTCGGGAAAATGTGTTGTTTTTCCTCAGTAACTGGGACATTACAATGGACAGTCAATTTTTTGCTTTAGATCTGCACAAAACCATAACACATGTTGTTTTATATATAAATATTAAAATGGCTGTCTTGGAGGAATCAGTCCGTTTTTTCATGGAAATGAGTAGTCGTGTTTTTAAAATGCCTGCATAGTAGAATGTTGCTGATTCACACTTTGCAACACACAAGTATGCACAAAAATGTTACTTATTCCCATTTCTCATCAAGGATTTAATAGAGGTCTGTTGTAGTGAGGTCTCCTTTTGTTTAAGGCTATATTCTTTACAAGATATACTAGAATACATTTTTGCACATGATGAAGTATTACTATAAATATTAAAACTGAACTACACTTGTCAAATTAAATGAGCAAAGAGCATTAAAATAACTAAATAGTATTATCCTGGTGTTCTTTATTGTATCTGTCACTTGGGGGCTCAGCTCATATTCCTGATGCAATTAAAACTCCCAATGAAGCCACTGACTTTTGTAGTACAAGGGATGAAGGATATGGCCCTTACTATTTACAAAACTTAAAATTCATAGAGGGTGCCCATCATTGGTGCAAATCACTGAGGTTCTGCTGTCATTTTGCACTTGATAAACTTCAATGGCCTATCATATACATTTTATATTTACTGATTATATCTATCTCAGCCACTCAGTGTAAAGCATCTGGAATTAACTTTATAGTCTGTTAGTTAAAAGAGAGAGGGAGAAACTCATTACTTACCTTCACCAATTCAGTATAACCAGTTTCCTTTGCTGTCCACCAAGGCTGAGCTTTTAGTCCATTAACATTGTAGAGAGAGCGCTGCCAAACCGATGCAAAGTGACCTCTCTGGTGCCCAAGCTCATACCACTTGTATGCCTAGAAGATTGAAGTTGTTAACAACCAATTTACATCAGCCCAACTTCAGCAGAAAAGAATAATCTTAAAAAGGCATTTCAACACCTCTGAATGACACTCCCTCTTGGCAAAGCAACAGGCTTCCTATATGAGCATCATTTTATCCTTTAAGATAGCCTGGTAATAAGCACTTAAGAAAAAAAATAATAGAGTAGATTGCTAGAGTCAACCAAAATTGTGAGACCCTCCGGTCTGTATTCACCAAGACAGGTGAAAACCAACCCCTAGTAATTCACCAAGAGGAGGGCTGTTCCAATAGTTCAGGGCTAAACTGAGACTTGGGAGACCTGGGGTTCAATCTCTTGCTCTTTCCAGGTGAGCATGAGCAAATCGCTCCTCCCCTCTATGCCTCAGTTCCCTATCCAAAGAACAGGGGTGACAGCACTTCCCTAGCACACAGGGATGCTGTGCAGACAAATATCGTAAAGACTGTGAGGCACTCAGACACCACTGAACCAGGGGCTTTGTGAGCACCTGAGAGAGGAATCCTGATTCCATACTAGCCGACACACCACACTCACCAGACCAGGAGGTGACCCCCCCCCCAAATTCTCCCTGCTCCCCAGTCTCCTCTCCAAGGCTCCCCCGCTCAACGCAGTGCTGCCGAGAGCCCCTCTCACAGACCTCCTGAAACAGAGAAGTAGCTGCTGCTGGAGGCCAGGCAGGAGGCTGGTGGTTGGACCCTCCCTGCTTGCCCCCCCCCTCCTACCATGCCTCAGCCACTCCAAACCAGTTGGGGAGAAGGCAGGGGAGGAAGATCAGCTGGCTCCAGAGAGGACACCCAGCTCCAGCATCCTGATTGCCCAGCATGGGAACAGTAACCCCTAGAGTCAGGGGCTGACTGGCAGCTGCCTTCTCCCCGCCCAGCTCCATGTGACTGTGCACATTTTGATTTATTGAATCAATTATAAAGACCATTTAATTGCAGCCGGTGTGCCATACTTTGTTAACCACTGCTCCACAATAAATCCTGTCTAACTCTCGTGCTCTTGCTTTGGTCTGATCCTGCAAGCTTGACCACAGTGGGACTACTCACATGAGCAAGGAATCATAGGCTCACACCCTTTATCAGCAGGCAAGGTTAATTTTGCCTTTTTCTGCGACTAGAGTACATATCGAAGGAGAAGAAAAGATGATCCACTCCAAAGAGAACTCACCAGAGGGTGAAACACTGCTTGTGTTTTTGATGTTGTATTAATTATAATAATAATTATTATTATTATTATTTGTATTCCAGTAACACGTAAAGGCCCTGATTAGGCACTTTGTGCCAAACACTGTACAAACATAGAATAGAAAACAGTCCCCTTATCCCTTCTATTACAGCGAATCCCTGGCTGTATGCAGTAACTGCAGTCATCCAGTAAACTGCACACAGGTGGCACAAAGGACAAAAGCCCAAAACTGTTTGCAGTAGAAATACAGATGTTTAACATTTAAGCAAAAGGACAAATCACGTTCGGTTCTCTCTGTAGGTAAGCCTCTGGACAGAAATGAACACAACCAACTGAGCACATTTGACATTCCATCCAGTAGAGGGCAGTAGGGCCAGCATATTAAACTGCCCCCCAAAGCCTAGAGAAGTAGAGACAAAAATAGAAGTGTTTCTTGTACAGGAATCAGATACTACAGTACTGTATGCTTTGACTTAATCTTAGCCATCACCGATTAAAGAAGCTATTGGATTTCTTTACATAATAGAATTCCTTCCTAAAAAACCTGATGTGTCATTTTAACCAATTACTTAATACACTTTTGTTCAAATAAAAAAAGTACTTTACACTTTAGTGGATGAGTTGGATTTCAAAGACAAGTTATTAAATAACCATCAAGGACTATGAAACCAGAGAGAATTACAAGAACAAATGGATATAAACTGGACATTAGGAAGTTTAGACTTGAAATTAGACGAAGGTTTCTAACCATTAGAGGAGTGAAGTTCTGGAACGGCCTTCCAAGGGGAGTAGTGGGGGCAAAAGACATATCTGGCTTCAAGACAAAGCTTGATAAGTTTATGGAGGGGATGGTATGATGGGATAGCCTAATTTTGGCAATTAATTGATCTGTGATTATTAGCGATAAATATGCCCAATGGTCTGTGATGGGATGTTAGATGGGGTGGGATCTGAGTTACTACAGAGAATTCTTTCTTGTGTGCTGGCTGGTGAGTCTTGCCCACATGCTCAGGGTTTAGCTGATCGCCATATTTGGGGTCAGGAAGGAATTTTCCTCCAGGGCAGATTGGCAGAGGCCTTGGAGTTTTTTCGCCTTCCTCTGCAGTGTGGGGCACGGGTCACTTGCTGGAGGATTCTCTGCACCTTGAGGTCTTTAAACCATGATTTGAGGATTTCAATAACTCAGACATAGGTTAGGGGTTTGTTACAGGAGTGGGTGGGTGAGATTCTGTGGCCTGCGTTGTGCAGGAGGTCAGACTAGATTATCATAATGGGTCCCTTCTGACCTTAAAGTCTATGAGTCTATTTCTTTGGAGGTCTATGTTTAAGTTTTCGTCACTCTTAAAATATTGGATGATACTCTTTGGTGTATAAAACTCTGATGATCTATGAAGGAGAGAATTGCTGCAAAATGTGCTCTTACGGTAGATGTATGAAGCACTGAAAAGCCATGTTGACAAATAGAATAACAGTGGACAGCCTTGGAGCTTTTCCTTTTGACGGCTATAAAATATTACAAGTTTCTGAGAGGAGATTTTTAAAGTTGTCTCTTTAGATATGGATCATAAAAATGTTATGTATTACCTTGGGTAATTTCCAGTATATCTTTATAGTTTAAGCTTATCTGGGTTAAGCCTCTGAAATGGAAACAGGATGATTTTTAACATATGTTCCTCAGCCTGTAGGTTGTAGTAGTAGACTAATACTAGTAGACTTTACCCACTCACTGCCTGCGCTCATTTGCAATATACCTAAAGCTAGCCCAGGTGACAAGAGTATGAATTACCTGTTTCAACTACTGACTGTGGAAAGAGATCACTAGTGCTGTTCAGTTATGTGTAGGGTTGTATATTATTGTTAGCCCCTATTAAAAACATTTTTATTTCAAATACATCTGTTAAGGTAGGGAAAGATTAGGAGGAGCCCACTCTACAATTTAAGATAGCTGCAGCAATAAACAATGTTTTCCAATTGATTAATAGTCTGATAAGTACTTAGTCCATATAATCGCCATGAAAAATCATTTTCTCCACTTATTCTTTACATAACACTTTCCATTCATTTGATATTTTTATTATTTAGTGTACCATCTTATTTGAGTTGGAAAGAGCCTCTTCTACTCTATCCCCTGCAATTTACCAAAGCTGAATTGCTAATTTAGCCCTAATAGATGAATGTCTACCTTCTGTGATGACAATTCCACATGTTCCTTATGTTCTGATCTCAAGGCCAGTGAGAAAAATTTAGATTAACCGTGGACTTTCCACTGTGATAAATTTAAGTCTGCTCTGTTAAAGCAGAAGTTCATTCATCATTGATTAGATCTTTTTCTACATAACTTTGGCCTTCAACTCCATAAACATTAGTACAAATCCCTACTTGGGAATTAGGATGGTACAAATTAATTGTGTCTGTGTGGTATCATTAGCCACACATAATCAATAATTTAGTCCTCTACTATGATCCTTACAAGTAAGATTATTCTTCTTTTCCTTAATCTTCTCCTCTTTGAGCATAAAAGGATTTCAATTTTGTTTTTTATATATATATATATGGGAGGCCAACTAATTCTTACTTGCAAATGAACTTTTAAATCCACAAGAATTCAGAAGAGGGATATTTTATTATACTTCCACAGGAGATAGTCTAACTTTAAAAATTCAGGTGCTAAAATGTTGTCACCTGGGTCTGGAGATTTAGCTTCAGTCTAATTGTTATAATCACAGTTCTATAAGATTTTCATAGAATAATTGAAGGTCAGTCATATTTGGTTATCTGGTTCCAGTTAAGATCACAGCCAAAGTCTGATTATAGCCACTGGTTTATGTTGACTACAGAAATGCCATGAGCAGATTTTTTTGTTCCATTGATTGGATATAAGATACACAAGAGGACTGCATTTCTGAAAAGGCTTGAATGTCGATGCCTCTGAAATATTTTGTGTGTCACTGATAAATAACATACAAATAGAAGATTCTCTCAAGACAGTGCTTTCTTGTTTTCAGCTGTCCATATTCCTTATCAAAGAATCTTTTTTATATTCATGTCAAGATTAGGATTCATAGTTTAAAAAACACCCACATTTTCTGATTTCCCCTCAAAAGAAGCAGGGCTAATCCACATGTGTAACCTTGAATTTACTAAATTCAATAAATCAGAAGCTCTCTTGGTTTCCATTACATTTTGTGCTCATTATGCCCTGAAGAAAAATCCTCAATATTTATGCAAGGATTCTAATTTTTCTGATCTGCCTGCTAATCTAACACACAAATGAATACAGGAAACCAATGCACTGGTTCAAAGTCCTGCACTACTTATATGTCTGTTGCAGTGAGAGCCCTACTCCCATAGTTGAGGTCTAAGGCAGTTTGTTACAATGAACCTGTGAGCAAACATACACACATACACTGTATTCATCTATTTTTGTCCGTGGGGGAAAGGTTCCAGTAGTTCAGGGTTGGTTCCACCTGCAGTGGTAGCAACATACCTTTTAGTCAAACACAGATACTTTTTAGTCAAAAAATTTTACTCACTGAATCTGTGAATTCCCCTGGTCCCCTGCCCACTCCTTGGTTTGCACTGGTTATCTTTCTGTGCCCTTCCCTTCTGCCCTGCCCCGCTCCGGTGGACCAGGATTTGTTAACGGGTTGCTGTGCACCCACACTCCAGGCAGACTTTCTGCTGCTGATGTCCTACAGTCTGAGCTCCACCAGATTCTGGGCTGTTAAACCAATGGGATTATTCACATTCCCAATGTTAAGACCATGATTAGATGCTTTCCTGAACTGGAAAAAGAGTGCCCAGCACCTTGCAGGACTGCATTTTTTAGAATAAAGGATATGTAAGACTCATACCTCTTTGTTTCCAACTCTCTGCAGGGCATCACCTAAATGAAAATAAAAGCGTCCATCATCAGTGCCAGGGTCACCAGACTCTAGGCCTTCCTAGAGAAAGAAAGAAAAAGAAACATTAGTAAAACTGAGTTAATTTAGCTGTTACAGTATGCTGTCCATTCAATCCAAGAAATAGGCGTGTAAAATATATCAGTATATAACTATATACATGTATAATTATTTGTTATCCTGAAATTTAGGTTCATAGAATCATAGAAGAATCATAGAAGATTAAGGCTGGAAGAGATCTCAGGAGGTCATCTAGTCCAACCCCCTGCTCAAAGCAGGACCAACCCAAACTATATCATCCCAGCCAGGGTTTGTCAAGCCGGGCCTTAAAAACCTCTAAGGATGGAGATTCCACCACCTCCCTAGGTAACCCATTCCAGTACTTCACCACCCTCCTAGTGAAATAGTTTTTCCTAATATCCAACCTAGACCTCCCCCCACTGCAACTTGAGACCATTACTCCCTGTTCTGTCATCTGCCACCACTGAGAACAGCATAGCTCCATCCTCTTTGGAACTCCCTGCAGCTAGTTGAAGGCTGTTATCAAATCCTCCCTCACTCTTCTCTTCTGCAGACTAAACAAGCCCTGTCCTTTCAGACTCTCCTCGTAAGCCATGTGCCCCAGCACCCTAATCATTTTTGTTGCCCTCCGCTGGACTCTCTCCAATTTGCCCACATCCTTTCTGTAGTGGGAGCCCCAAAACTGGATGCAATACTCCAGGTGTGGCCTCACCAGTGTGGAATAGAGGGGAATAATCACTTCCCTCAATCTGCTGGCAATGCTTCTAGTAATGCAGCCCAATATGCTGTTAGCCTTCTTTGCAACAAGGGCACACTGTTGACTCATATCCAGCTTCTCATCCACTGTAATCCCCAGGTCCTTTTCTGCAGAAATGCTGCTTAGCCAGTTGGTCCCCAAGCTGTAGCTGTGCATGGGATTCTTCCGTCCTAATTGCAGGACTTTGCACTTGTCCTTGCTGAACCTCATCAGATTTCTTTTGGCCCAATCCTCCAATTTGTCTAGGTCCTATCCCTACCCTCCAGCATATCTACCTCTTCCCCCAGCTTAGTGTCATCTGTGAACTTGCTGAGGGTGCAATCCATCCCATCATCCAGATCATTAATGAAGATGTTGAACAAAACCATCGCCAGGACTGACTCCTGGGGCACTCCGCTTGATACCGGCTGCCCACTAGACATTGAGCCATTGATCACTACCCATTGAGGTTGAATGAATAACACTTACTTCAACCAAAAAATTCTTAAAAACACTATAGTTTTTTCAACTGCCTCCTCCTTCCCAATCCTCCCCCCAAAAAGGTTTTCTGTTTTTTTGAAAGCCTGGACATTCCAAGGCAGGGTTTCACTTTACAAACTTTCCTCCCAAACATTCAAAAGTTTGCAAATGGATCATTTGGATTACTCAGGAACCTTAAGGTTGGCCCCATATGCCAATCTCAAAACAACCAGAAACTCAAACCTGTCCATCACGTAAAATCATTCATTAGTGACCAAGGAAACATTAATACTTTATGCTTGAATCTTGATGAATCTTGGATATATAAGTGTGTCTCGGTTTACTGATCTGTGCAGCTATGAATATATTTTGTGAACTTGCATAAATGGTTATTTATAACTATTGTGCTTATAGCTAAACCTGTGTTAACACAATTTCTCCCCACCACCACCTTTTTTCTACCATTTTTCTACCAGTAAAATGTATTTTTAAAGAAAAGAAAAGAAAAGAAAAGAAAAGAAAAGAACTAATATGGGAATTTTACCTTCAAATATGGAATGCTCTCTGCTATCTTGTTTTCTGCCTTGAGGATGAAGCCATAATGTACTTTAGCAAAGCCATCGTTTGGAGCCAGACTCAGGACCTGTTTTAAAGCAAATTAATAATTATTATATATTCATTTATGGATTTCTTTTCAAAATTAATTTAGATTGCTCAGTATGTGGCAGACCAAAAATCGTGTTAGGATTTTGTGGTTTAAAACAAACACTATCATCTGCTAACAACTCTCTAAGAATCACTTGACTTGGTCAGGTTTTTCCAGGCTCATTCATTACACTTTGGTATCTCGCTACAATAATTTATGTGTACAGTAAAACAGTGTCAAGCACATCTTTATGGTTAGAAATCACCAGCTGCACAAATTAACATAATCTGCATGTATCTTAGCTGTTCAGCTACATTTCTTTATTTTCCTTTCCTCCCCCTCACGTCTTGTAGAGTGTGTCTTCACTGCAGAGTTCGCTTGAGTAATCCTCACTCAAGTTAATTCTCTTGAGTTAGCCTCGTTCAAGTGCGAGTGGCCACATTGTAAAATAACACTATGACCAAGCTGCGCTCACTCGTGTGTGGTGCAAAGACTTCTAGGGGCATATCCCATGGTTCTCTGCACTGCAGCAAACTGAGCTGCTCTATGAACTTTTTCCCAGTGAGTTGTGGGAGAACTGATTTGTCCTTTCTTGGCACACAGAGGGAATTGTGTCACTCAAGTGGAGCTAGCCTCTGTCCACACTACAGCATAGCTGTGTTACCATCTGACTGACAAGCTGTGCAAACTCAAGCTATAGCCTATAACACCTGACAGGCTAGCCAGCTTGAGTTAAAAGAACCACCACATTCAAGTTAAAGGGTTTTTGTGTGTGGATGAACTCGAGTTGGGGACAGAGCTCAAGTCTGCAGTGAAGACAATCCCATAGGCAATAGAGAAGTGAGATGTTAGTAGGGATAGATTGAAGTGGCTTGGAGAACAAGCTTAGGGTATGTCTACACTACAGGATTAATCCGAATTTAGATAATTCGAATTTGGGAAACAGATTGTATAAATTTGATTGTGCGCGGCCACACTAAGCACATTAATTCGGTTTTTAACCACATTAATTCGGTGGTGTGCGGCCACACTACCCCATTAATTTTAACCACATTAATTCGGTGGTGTGCGGCCACACTACCCCTAATTCGAATTAACAAAATCGATTTTGGTGCTACTCTGCTCGTCGGGGTGGAGTACAGAAATCGATTTTAAGTGCCCTTTAATTCGAAGTAACTGGCTCCGTTGTGTGGACGGGTTAAGGATTAATTCGGATTAACGCAGCTAAATCCGAATTAAAGTCGTAGTGTAGACCAGGCCTTAGAGAGGATATTTGTGACCTAGGGACCTCTTGGCACCAGCTGACAGAGGGCACAGGGGTGCATAGAGGTTACAGGGATCTTCTGGGGTCTGGTATCCACATAGTAGTTCACCAAAGGGTGTCATATAAGGTCTCTAATGAAAGTCTGTCATACTGGTCCTCATAATCATTGCAAAATGTGTGTACACAGAATATGTAAGGAGTTATGTTTATATACTGAAATTTATGTTCTTCAGGTCTGTGGCTTGGGACAAAAAAGTTGAGAAACAAGTTTCTTTCAGGCAAGAGACATTTATCTGTCTTGTATATGCAAATTGAGTATTGTATGGTTCACAATGGACACCCATTACCGTCTGAGCAAAATGCTAATCAAGTGATTGTAAAGTCTCCAGGGGAGGCCCTAGACAGGAAAACACAAGCAGTAGGGGTTATCCTGGTCACAAGTGCAGACAATGGATTTTTGGACTATAACTGTAGAGACAAAAACTATAAATCTTTCCACTGAGGAGGCAAGAGGACAGCATGGTTTTTTTCATGAACAGAGGATCACAGCCAAGCCTTACTATAGTATGCTGGAAGGATTTGAGCTTTTGCTCTTGACATGGCAATATTTTATTAGTTAAGTTTAGGCTCTAGTATGCGTGTTATGATTTGATTTCAGATGTAACCCTTTGTTTCCAGTACTTCTGCTTGCTATCATTTGACTCTCTGGCCTTTGTTAAATAAACTTATACTTGCTTTCTCTAAAAACAAATCTAAGTGCTGTATGTTAGGCAGAGCTGAGTTCTATGGTGTAACTGGCAAACCGTGGGTACCGTTCCTTTGGGAACAGGGCCTCTGGGAATTCTGTGAGTGTCCAGGGGATCAGGGGCTGGGCACTCCAGGGAGATGCTCGGAGGACTCGGGGGTTGGAAAGTGCCTATCATTAACCTATAACGAGAGAGCAGGGCCTGCGGAGGTCTGGAGAGCATTGTAAATGTTGCCAGAGGCTGGTGGTGTTTGGGAGCTGACCCACAGACAAAGCTTAGGGTGACCAGACAGCAAGTATGAAAAATAGGGACAGTGTGTGTGGGGTAATAGGGGCCCATATAAGAAAAAGCCCCGAATATCGGGATTGTCCCTATAAAATCGGCACATCTGGTCACCCTAACAAGGCTTCCTCTGGCTAAGGGCAGGTGGTAGCGGAGTGCCCCCGGGGAGCATCACAGTATTGTATGCATCTTCTCCTCACTGTCAAATGGGAGTGTTTCAAGGAAAGGGTGAAGTACGAAGAAGGTGGGTCTAAGCTCCAATACCCTCAAACTACACTCACCACTTTCACCCTCCTCTCTTTTTTTGAGACTAATTATGTGTTTACCTTAGTGTCATGTGTGGTATTATATGATATCAATTACATTCTTAAGTGTGTCTTTTGTTACAACTTCTCACTCCTTAAAATAATGGAAGAATGGGCACAGACACCAGGACAGATCCTCAGCTTAATCAGCAGAGCTCCATGGAGCTATGCCAATTGACACCAGCTGAGGATCTAGTAGAGTGACCTGTATATGCACCGGGGGCTACAGCAGCACAGTTGCTGCTCTAGCACTGTAGCCTAGGCTTTCCCTACATCGAGGGAAGGGGGTTTTCCACTGATGTAGGTAATCCACCTCCTCACGTGGCAGTAGCTATGTGGATGGAAGAATTCTTCTGGCGACCTAGCCATGTCACACTGGGAGTTAAGCTGGCTTAACTCTGGCACTCAAGGACATAGGCACAGTCTCCATGGGTGCTCTGGAGCTGGAGCACCCACAGAAAAAAAAACAGTGGGTGCTTAGCACCCTGCCAATCAGCTGTTCTGCGGCGGGCAGGAGGTGCTGGGGGGAGGGGGAGGAGTGAGGGAGGGAAGAGGCGGAGTGAGGGCAGGATGTGCTCAGGGGAGGGGGCAGAGTGGGGGCAGGGCTTCGGGTCAGAGCACCCACCCAGAAAAATGAAAGTCAGTGTTTGTCCTCGGGGAAGTAAATCTTTCATACCCTGAGCAATGTGGCTAGGTTGATCTAAATTTTAAGTGTAGACCAGGGCTAAGGCAATAGCGAAGCCTGCAATATTTTAAAAAACCAAAAACATCCCTGAAACTACTAGTTATATGCCAGTCCTTAGCAATGCACATACATGTTTCACCCATATATTCCCTTATCTTTTCCAGTAATTGTCTAACAACACACAATCCTACCTCTTAAAAAAGTTCTTTGGTCAAGTGCCTTATCTTCTTTCCTTTGGACTAAACTCTGTGCTCTCTTACACCTTATATAATCATTTGTATCTGTGCAAATTGAGTACAAAGTGTGTAAAATGCTGCTACCTAAGAATGGTTGCATTTTACATCCACTTTTCTCAGGAATAAATTACTACAAAGGTTCAATCCAACAGATAATCTGTTTGGGAGTCTATAAAATTCTAGAAAGCAAGAAAGAAAGATTACTAGTAAAAATATGGAGTTGGCAATCCACAGTTAAAATCTGTTTGACCATCCATTCAGAAAAAAAACGGTATTGCCATTGATTTTACATCTTTTGGCTACAATATTCTATAGACAATAATTCTGTTCCAAGAAGCTGCCCGTAGCGGGCCAAACAAATTGAGTTTCAATAGTATTTATGTGCTATATAATTTTGTTACATCTGATTAACTAAGGTAGAAAGTCCAAATATACAACATCTGACTTAGTTTTATAAGCCACTTGGCATGATAGTTAATTTTAAATAATATCTAGCTTCATTAAGACAAAAATCTACATTCATTACCATTCCAAGAGAGTGATTCAATAAAAATCAGCAGAAAGTACACTTGAAGCATTTAATGTAAATTATATTAACCTGCTGCTATTGTTGCATACAATATTAATTATGTTTAGAAATAAGTTATGCTAAATTGCCCCTTAGTTCATTAAATATTAATCATGGATATAGAAATAAACCTCAGGGGCTATTCAGAATAATAACCAATCAGTGGCACAAAGGGGCAGACAGAGAATTTGCCTTCAGATCACTGCAAGTGAGGAATTCCTTGAAAAGTGTTAAATCATGATCTGTAGACCTTTGAAAACAAACAAATCTGTGACTCCTCCAAAGATTGCTTTTAATGTACTGTTCCTGAATTCCTAAATATAACTTTAAAGGGAAAGACATTTAACTGGGGGAAGAAATTAAAATCCTATTTCTTAACATTCTCTTCCAGCAGCGGTATAGTGGACAGCCTGATAAAATAGGGCATATTTCCCATCAGGTTAAACACTAGCTATAGACATAAAACTCTTAATTCAAGGTATGATGTTTAGGTTCATCATCTTTGAAGTGAAAAGAAAGGACATGTTGCACGTAAGCCGATCTCCTCTGAAATCAAAACTTGACCATGCATACTACAGTACTTCTGCAGCCATTGACTCCTTATGGAAAACTTTGAAAAACTGATTGTAAAACAGTTCTGCTTATATCTCATTTTCTGAATCCAACTCTGCTGTTACAAAGATGATTACAACTTCAATGACAAATAAGCATATGAGAGAGAAAATGGAAATTGAAAAGCCCTCATCTGGAAAGACTCAAATTCAGATTACTTTATTTTCTTTGCAACAGCTAATGACATGACTACCACCTAATATTTGCAAAGAGTGGCATTCATTTTCTTAGGGGATGTCATTCATTGGCCTGGTCTACACTATGAGTTTAATTCGAATTTAGCAGAGTTAAATCGAATT